AGGTTAGTTTTGAGGGCTTTTTGTAAAGTGTCCAGGCTTGGGGCGCTGCGGATATCGGGGGGGAGAGTATTGGACAGTGTTGGACTTTAGGTTCAGTTCCAGGAAAATAAAGCAATCTAGTCGAGGCAGTGTTGACCGTTCAAGGTACCAGATATTTAGTTTACAGCTTCATGTTTACTGTCTGAGTAAAAAGCTGTGTATTCAGGATGAATATCAAAGTAATGACATCGTTGTGTGTGTCTGTGTAAACATTTGTTTTAACCCATATTTGTTTGCGAAGACACCCGTATTTTGTTAATTTCACTATGTCAATAACACTGGCAACATAATACTGTTTCTCATCACAGCCTGATATCAATATATTAATGATCCTGATTGCTCTTGGCAGGTGGAGCTGCAGGAAGCCTGCTTATGCTCCGTGTTGAAAATATGTCAACAGCAGATCCAATGTTTGTAGTAAAAAGTTGATAAATCAGAAAATGTTTTACTACAATCTGGATTACTTCGAAAGTGTTTATCGTGTCTCACAGATGTACGAGTGAGATCACGCAAACACGTTCACCGTGGTGTTTAGACGACATTACATCGTTTACATTACTGACACTCTTCATACATTAAAGATGAAGTGGGAAAACCTCTAATGCATCACCAGAAACACATGTAGAAAGTTCTCTAGAGAGGCGAAGTCCCGCCCATCTAGTTCCGCCCCATGGGACCTTATTTCTGAAAAATTATGTATTGAAGTCAATGGAGAGAGAAAGATTATCTTTCGACCCCGTTTGAATTGTGCCACGAATTACACATATGATGTTTGTCAATCTTTAAAAATAATTTCCGTGTGAAAAAAGTCAGTTTGTCGTAAAACTGTTGAAATATAAGACTGAAAAATACGCAACTAGAAAGACTACAAATCCCAGAGTCCCGGTCCCGCATGCTGGCTCTAATGAACCGACTAACTCCCCTGGTGTGTATGCACAGCTCCCAACATGCCCAGACTAAGAGTGATTTTCACCTCTTTTAATACTTTCCGCCTCGTTCTGAAAGAAAGAAGTGAAATGTGCCAACGTGACGGCCGTCTTGGTGTGTGGAGCGAGACGGGAGATGTAGCTCATTGAGCGGTTTCACACAAAGTGTTACTTCACATTTTTACAACACATTTTAATTTTTTTGACTTGCTAAATTATCTTTTAAATTGACAAACATCATATGTGTAATTCGTGGCACAATTCAAACGGGATCGAAAGATACGCGTTCTCTCTTCATTGACTTCAATGCATACTTTACCCGAAATAAGGCCCCACGGAGGAAAGGGAGGGACTTCGCCTCTAATTGAGAAGACTAGGATGTCTTGTTGGTTGATGTTTAACAACTAAAAGTATCTCACCTGTGTCTATCTTCCCATTTCATTCATTTTAAAAAGTACTTTTCTCACACATGTATATGGAAAAGCAGCATGTTGGTTATCTTTTAAATGAATGCTTCACAATAAAAAGTCTGAAATGAAAGCCCTGCTCCGTGTTGTGTGAATATCACATCTTAAATCGTACCTGAATCTGCGGTAGACGACCTTCAGGTGTCTCAGACGGCCGGTTCCGGTGGTGTTCCTCCTCTTGGCCTTAGCGCTCCAGTTGTCTACAAAACAAACCAAAAATAAATCCGGTTGAACCAGAAAATTGTCCTTTTTCCAAAGGTGTAACTGATAACCATGATGGATCAGATGCTCTGAAGAGTCCCAGCTAACGAGCAAACACCTGAACTGGTTCTACGTGATATATTTCTACACTTGTGTTACATGATGGGAGGGTAGTTGTGGTGTTCTGCTCTTCATCAATGATGCTTACCTCAGAGAAATCACTGGCATCATTTTCAATCAATTGTTCAGAAATTTATTTTTCATCATCATCGGCAAGCAGCATTGATGAGTCTTTCAACGAGACCGTAGAGATACCTAAATACAAATCGTACAACTAAACGAGTCGGTTTTACATCAAATGATTAATTGACTGGATACATCGAAGAAAATGTGTTTCTGTCCATTACAGATTCAACGGCACACTTGCAATGTTTCCAATAAATATGCCTAAATTATAAGTTTTTAAAAAAGGGCAATTATCGTGAAATTCGGCTTACGTTTAAGTCTTACTTTTAAGTCTTACTTTAAACACAAGTGAAACAATTCTAATTGTCCGACTCCAGCGTCTTTCATGAGCATCCTTCTACTTTTGTTCGTCATAAAATCAAGTTGGGTATTAGGGACGATTGCCGAATAAAAATATATGACTAACACTTTATGAACAGTTAGAAATACACTACATTTGTACATTGAACGTGTTTAGACGGCAAGTGTCAATATGCACATTGAATTTTATCTCGTTGCACTGTCACCTCTGCTTTTACCACTTATATATTACTGTCTATTTTTTACTGCAGTGAGAGTTGCCAAAGAAATGTCGTTGTACTTCGTATGACGACAATAAAATATATATTCTATGGAAGTTGTGATGGTAATTTTTTGACATGATCTGCAGAGTATTCAATAACAGTTTTGGGCATAATAAAAAAAACACTTTATTTGGTCACTTACACTTCCTCTTGCGCTTCTCGGGGTAGCCACACTTGCCGCAGGAGGACTTCTGCAGATGGTAAGCCTTGGATCCACAACGACGGCACAAAGTGTGCGTCTTGTTCCGGCGCTTTCCGAAAGATGAAGTTCCCTTCGTCTAAAGGAGGTGGGAATAAATAAAAAGAGGCAATCAGAAAAACAATTCCCACAGATTTCTATCATCAAGAGTTAGAAAGCTCTGCATGGTCTTGTCTCAGAACAGAAGTACGAATCACAGGAAATCATATGTTCAGACATTTGTGTTTGGAACATCACAGACAAGACTGAGCAGCAAACACATGATATGTAACACAAGGGATGCAATATGGATCTGTGCTCAAACATAGATTCACTTAGTGGACACATTAAGTACACCTGTAGTAGAAGCCATTAGAGCTACTCATTAAATGTACTTTCAAGATGCCTATTCTTAACACCAGTTGTTAGGTTTTAAGCCAATTATGTCAACATTGAGTATAAAGTAGTGTTGTTGCACTGACTACATTATAGTGAGGTGTTCTGCCACCTCATGTACACAAGTAGGAACACAGAAACACCTCAATATAAAACAGTAAAGTAAAAAACATGTGCATTATTACGTTTTAAAATACAAAGCACCAAAAAGGCATCATGCTGTCCAACTCAATTTTCTATTGTTTTCTGGTGGTGTTTTACCGACTACATTATATTGTGGCCTTTCAACATGTCTGCCCACTTCAGGCACATACATAAGATATAAAATTAATATAGAAGCAGTCAAGTACAACCCTAAACCCTCAAAAGTACATCGTTTTCGCAAAATACAAACAAGAACTCGTGCTCAACTTTGAATGCAAGAAGTATAGCAGAGGTGAAGCATTGAACAGGTGTGAGCAAGTGGCCAATTCTTGTTTACATATTATAAAGGCACAAAAAGGAAGTCCAATTTTCAGTTTTTAGCAATAAAAATAAAAGCCAGTTTCATGCCTTCAGTGTGTACACTCTGAGGAAGCACACTTAAAGCTAGTTATGCTAACTGCTATGGACAAGCTAGTAAGCATTGTACCTTGCTAAAGCCCAACACCAACAATAACGTAATATATCTGTAGTAACGTGGCGGGTATAACAGGATTATTTAGAGTACTTTCAACGCTATGTGGTGATTTTTTACCGGTTAATTTAGGCCCATTTTGCTTACGATCCTGAATGCTAACAGTAGCTTCTGAACACTGTCTTCCTAGCAACAGGAACAATGTTATTTTTTTATTAAAATCCACTTTCATCCCGAAAATATTTCACCCAAACGGTAAAGATGATTATCCGACATGGAAACAGCAACAGTTTGTGTCGGATAAATGAAACATTACTTAGATGTTTGGAGATTTCTCTCCGCCAGCGTTGCAACTTACCATTTTCGTCCGGTGGCTAAGGGAAAAGAGACCGGAAGAGGCGAGTGTGCCGCTTGAAATCCCCTCCGCGCTGCTTCCTGTGTAACACTGAAATGTGTCCCCCGTAGTTAAATAATAGAAACACATCAGAATTTTTTTTTTCTTCAATCAAATCTAAATCATTTAAGTCCAACATGTTTAACTTATTCATATTATCAACGTTACAAACACTGACTGAACAACAAACTCATAAAATATCAACAAATAATGCATTATTTCTTGGATTAATTTTATGTTGCTGACGTTTTTTTTGTTGTAATTTGTTAATTTTTTCAATGAAGAATAAAAATACAGTTAGTAGATTATACTATTTATAGGTTTAATTAACCTTATATTAACCTATATTTTCCAATGTGTTGTTTAAAGGTCCCATGTCATGCTTTTCTGTTTATTACCCGTCCCCTTGTGTGTTATGTAACTTTTCCTGCATGTAAACGGTCTGCAGAGTTACAAACCCTCAAAGTACACCCTGTAGCGAGTAAAACTCTAACACAGAGAAGACCTGTCTATGCTCCCCCAGAACGCCTCGTTGGAGATTTCTCTTTTTCTTCCTGGGTACAGTGACGTATTTCGGGTATAGTGACGTAACGTAACGTCGTAACACAAACTCCCAGCCAGGCTGCGGGTGAGTGTGTGTTTCAGGCTGGGTTTCGCTGTGTCTCGCAGGGGGGGGGCAGGAGCTCTACAAGCCGTGTAGGACAGAGAGTGAATACACATACTATACAGAGATGCTGTATGAGAAACCAATGTGAGTTTGGAAAATTGCACAATCTAAATCTATTCTAGTAGACCTCAACAATGGCATTATGATCAGTAGAAATGGCCATGCCATGGGACCTTTAATTGATTGTATGTACTATGTGGATTTCTATTTTGTGTTCAACCTGCCGTGTTGTTTATAAAAATATTTCCAAAATTAAACCTAGCCATACGCCTAATATAGAAATGCAATCATAATTATGAAACAAAATCAGATACTTAAAACCCAGTGTAAACATAATATGTTATAAAAGATCATTAATCATTTGTAACCCATACACTCATACAGAGGAAGCCATGGAAAATGTGTGTTTAATGGAATTACAATAAACATTTACACACAAAAAACTCTAGCTTAGGATCAGCATACTTGTTTTGTCGGCCTTATGCGTCTTGAATTTACTATATCATGTCATACATACACAGTAGGAGGCAGCAAGGGTCATTAGGAACCAATAGTTCATGTTTTATTCCAGCAGGTTCATCAAGTCACACTCATGATAACAAGTCAATGGCATACAGAATCAAACCGTGGATAAA